AGCAGCAGCAGCAGCAGCAACAGCAGCAGCAACAATAATAATAAATGGATTGATGAATCATCTAGTATAGTATATGTAGATCTATTAAGAAATCCTCCTGGTTATACAGAGTACCAAGGAGGACCTATATGGGGAGCATTACAGCAGCAAATATATCGTATACAGCAGCAAGAAATATATAATTATAATCAGCAGCAGCAGCAGCAGCAGCAGCAACAGCAGCAGCAGCAAGAAAAAGAAGAGGAAGATATAAAAGTATGTGGTACTGCAGCAAAGTTATCCATGATATTATCTGGTATACAATCCAATATATCTGCACTTGCTGCTGAATATTATTATACAGACATTAATCATTACCAACAACATAATAAACATAATAAACATAATAATAATAATAATAATAATAATAATAATAATAATAATAATAATAATAATAATAATAAGCACCAACAACAGCAGCAACAACAGCAGCAGCAGCAGCAGCAGCAGCAAGAGGAGGAGGAGGAGGAGGAGGAGGAAGAAGTATTTCCTGTATCATTTCCTTCTCTTTCTTTTTATTTAAATCGTTTTTCATTTCATCCAGATCGAATTAATAATTTATATTTCAATTTTTCTCTATTAACTAAGGGAATGTGTCTTCTTAAGGATGTACTACAAGAATGTAGCTGCGAAACAGGTAATTCTTTATAACTTTTTATGCTATTTATGTCTATATTGTTCTCCTCTTTATTCTCTTTCTTATGGTGTCTTTTTTTTGATCTTTTTATGTCTTATTGAATCACTAATTTATATTTCAATTTTTCTCTCCTTACGAAAGGAATGTGTCTATTGAAGGATGTACTACAAGAATGTAGCTGCGAAACAGGTAATTCTTTATAACTTCTTCTCCTTTTTATGTCTATATTGTTCTCCTCTTTATTCTCTTTCTTTTGGTGTACTTTTTTCTGGTCTTTTTATGTCTTATTTAATCACAAATCCTTACGAAAGGAATGTGTCTTCTTAAGGATGTATTACAGGAATGTAGCTGCGAAACAGGTAATTCTTTATAACTTCTTCTCCTTTTTATGTCTATATTGTTCTCCTCCTTATTCTCTTTCTTTTGGTGTACTTTTTTCTCTCTTTTTATGTCTTATTTAATCACAAATCCTTACGGAAGGAATGTGTCTACTTAAGGATGTATTACAAGAATCTAGCTGGTAAACAGGTAATTATATGTTATTTTTTGTCCTTTTTATGTCTATTATATTCTCCTATTTATTCTCTTTCTTATGATGTACATTTTATCTCTCTTTTTATGTCTTATTTAATTACTAATTTATATTTCAATTTTGCACTCTTAACGAAAGGAATGTGTCTACTTAAGGATGTATATTACAGGAATGTAGCTGGTAAACAGGTAATTATATGTTATTTTTTATTGTCTTTCTTCTTATTATATTCTCCTTTTTATTCTCTTTCTTATTATGTACTTTTTGTCTCTCTTTTTATGTCTTATTTAATTACAAATCTTTATTTCTATTTTGCCCTCTTAACTCAAGGAATGTGTCTTCTTATATGGATATATTACAAGAATATACATACAAGACAGAGATAATTATATGTTATTTTTTATTGTCTTTCTTCTTATTATATTCTCCTTTTTATTCTCTTTCTTATGATGTACTTTTTGTCTCTCTTTTTATGTCTTATTTAATCACTAATTTATAATTCAATTTTTCCCCTCCTTAATATAAGGGAATAGGATGTTATACAAGAATGTACATGGTGGTATACAGGTA